AATTGCCACAGTTGAAAGGAATAGGAAATTGTTGATGAATGTAGCTGCAGGTGGTTATGTAAAGGATTTACTGGGAAATTTAGCGTGTACATTAATCTTTATTCACATTAAAATGAGAAAATAAAACGATTACATCCATATGTAATCGCACATAAATTTGGCTTTTATTATCCTTTAGCAAATATGTTTTATAAGATAGAAAATTGGAAAAGGCCCACCACTACTTCTCCAGGAAAATGTTTCTGTTCGAATGAAAACTGAAAAATTTTTCATAAAATTAATCTCAGTGCATGGGTGTATTATACCAGGTGAAGTAATAAGAGCGAGCTGAAAGATGTGACATTTATTTGATACTGTTTTGATTGAAATTTGAAACTTTGAAATATTTTAGAAGGCATACGAGCACCAGAAGATAAAACCAGAATGCTGTATTATTGCTTAAATAGTTTATTGCGACATGTCCCGAGCTTCCTTCTTCATCATTACTTATTTTTAACTGTGCGGCACTCTCTTTGTAGGATTGTTATTGTAAGAAAATTATTGACGAAATTCGAAATATGGCAAGTTAACTTATTTCCACTAGTTAACCGTAATCATTTATAAAACTTTTTTATTTCCTTTTTGGGTAATTAAATAGTTTTGTAAAAAGACTCTTAGCAATTAAAAGGGAAAACGCCTATGGCAATAAGCAACGCTTCGCTTTAATTATCAACAAAAAAAATATGCAAAAATTAATTAGAGATGAAGAATAAAAAAAAAATAAAGATGCTAAAAGGGATATAAAAGTTTTCTTTGCAAACACATACACGTAAATACATACGAAATATGAAGCTGAGCAACGAACAATTAAAACCGTGAAAGAAATTATTTTAAATATATGAAACGGGTTGTTTCAAATAGCTAAAAAGCAACTTACTGCTGCTAATGAGGGAATAAAGCAAAAAAGCGCAGTAAGTATGCAAGAAAATATGCTATATTTAGTGGGTTCAGAGTCGAAAAAACGCAACGTATGTATAGTGTGGTATCTAAGAAAAGTAGAGTACAATTAGCAAAAAAATATATATTTGATTTTCTTTTTGCAAATGAAGAAATTATTTAAATGCTGGTGCCTAAAATAACCGTTAAATGCCAAGATTTTTATTTTTATCATTTTCATTTCAAAATCTTTATTTTTTAAATCATTTTTGCCAATCAAGGAACACAGGTTTACAGAAAAAGTTTCTGCATATTGAACTCTATGTTATTTGATGCGCTCGATGCGAATCCGACGTCTGTTAACCTCCATCATCTCGGGTTCGATGTCATTTGAAGGTCAAAAAGCGAAAGATTCATTGAACACGGTGATCCCTTGATTCTTCAGGTTCATCTCAGGGTCAAATTTAGAAGAATTGTATGGAATTTTGAGGCTTATCCAATGAATTTTTCCCTATATGGCTAACAGACCGCGGATTCGCATTCAGCGCGTCGAATAACATAGGTATATAAAGGTTTAGTTTAATATGCATAAACTTGATGACTGAAACGAAAAAAATAAAAGTCATAAAATAAAGGTTAAATTTTATCGGAAAAATATACATACATACATATATCCAATTTTAAAAATTTGTCATTTTTACTATCAAGATTATAACCGTAACGGGCTCTGTTCAAATGTGTGCGTGTTGAAAAAGTGCTGTTTGTTTTAGATATTTTTTCTTAAATTTTCGATATTCTCTTTTTTTTCATATTTTTAATCAATCTTGCAATATTTTTTTATATTTGATCTTATTTATGGATTAATTAGAGTATTTTCATAGTTTTCTATGAAAGTTCACTTTATTTTTGTGCGAATTAAAAAAAACTGCTTTTTAAAATCTTTTTATCATTTTTGCTAAAAAATTCTTGAGTTTTGAAGTTTTTTCGTTGGGGATCCTCTTTGTTTTCTTGAAAAAATTAAAACGTTTTTTTTTTTCCTTTTTTAATGGCCATAAAAACATTAACTTCTGAAAATGTTTACATTAACAGTTCTAAACCTCATAAACGAACGCTTCTGGATCAAAATCTTACATAAGTAGAATTTTCAAGTCAAGCAATTTTTCGTCGATACATTTTTGAGCAAAAGCTATCCGAAAATGCTCGAAGAGTGAACAAATTAATGATTTTTGCTATTCCATACATACATACTATATACATTAGGGGGGTTAAAAAATACACAAGAGAATCATATTTTTAGAATTTTCCCGCTAGCACCTCCAGAACTGAAGAATATCGAAAATAAGACTACCCGTATTTTTTTTTTTTTAAATCGGTTAATATTTAACCGTGCCACCAGCGTTTTGAAGTCTGCCATATCGAGCCCTAACCGCCAAAATAACGTAAGCGACATTTTTTTCAAAATTTTATTTTTGATGCAGAAATATTCCTAGAGCATCTAGATGCATTTCTGCATCAAAAAGAAAATTTTGAAAAAAATGTCGCTTACGTTATTTTGGCGGTTAGGGCTCGATATATTTCAGATGGGAAAGTGATTTTTTTTCAGAATTGCCATAAAATCATTAAAAATAAATAGTTTTTTGTCGAAAGAAGATTTCCCATTAATAATCTTAAAAAAAAAATATGACGCATATTTAACCTCAAAATTGTACTAAAAAATTGTTCACAACTTGGGTTGTGTGGCTATGAAAACATAAAGTAACATATTTTTGTATATAATATTACCGGTTATGCAAAAATAGTACGTAGGTTTTTAAAGTTAAATGTGCACCATTATTTTGTGTTTTGAAAATCTCTGAAAAGAAATAAATTTATTAGATCAAAAAATACGAACTTTTAATGAGTTTATAACAATTTTACGAAAAAAATATATTTTCTCCATGTAAACTATATAGACAATTTCAAAGCTCGATTAAATATTAACCAATTTCAAAACAAAAATATGGGTCTCCTTATTCTCGATATTCAACAGTTCTGGGGGATGGCTGGGAAAAAACTTGTACCACCTTAATAATACAAGCATATGTATGTATGTACTTGCAAATTTAAAATGAATACACATGCATACCTACATATAGGAGTATATATATATACATATCATTTAATACACAAGGGATGGCAATGAAAAATTCAACGGCATTGCCGTCAATTCCCAACATTATTAAAGAGACAAAAGGATTTGTTTCTATATATGAATAAAATACTCATATATACAGACATGAGAAAATCTGAGGGAATTAAAAAAAGTTGTACAACATGCATGTGAATATGTGCATATATTAAATAATGAAAAAAGGGAAAATTACAAATTAAATTGAAGTTATTAAGTTTAATATGAAATTAAGTAGTCGCCTGAACCCGAAACCTGACCTCAAACAATTTGGTAGAGTAATTAAAATTTTTGAGCGAAATGAATAGTCTCGAGGGTGGTATTTCGCTTTTCATGCTCCTCGAAAATGAAAAATTAACAAAATAAATACGAGTATGGATGTGTATTAGGGTGGTCCTTAAAAAATTAAACGAACAATTTTTTTCAGTCTCACGGCCTCAATCGGTAATACCACGATAACAGATATAAATTTTGGTCCCGATTGTAGTCGGTTACAAGGGGATAGACTCAAATAATTGAAAATGTTTTTTTTTTTTCACTTAACACCCAAAATCGATTACGCTAAAGTCGAAGATATCACATGTAAATTTTGGTCCCAATTGCAGTCACGCCTTAACCGACTCCAATCGGGGCCAAAATTTATATGTGTTATCTTCGACTATAGTAGCATCGACGTAGGTGTTGAGGCTTGGAAATCTGATGTAAAAATTTGCTTCCTACATTAAAAGACCACCCTAATGTATATATATTCAGCAAAGGAGTGTAGTGATTTCCACATCCTACTTACATACATACATACATACATACATACATACATACTTGTACATTATTTATAATTACTTTGAGCCTAAATACTAGATATTTTAGGAAAACTGCACCCAGTGTGAAATTAATTTTAGTGTTCTTTCTCACTTAACAAATGAGTAAAGGAAAGACCGACAAACGTAGAAAGATGCAAATATGGTCTAATATGCAATGGCATATATATATATGGTTCTACAAAAAAAGTAGGACAAGGGTAATGCTACTTGAAAAATAGATATCCCCCTAAGGGGGAAAAGGAAAATCGATTTAGTTTCGTATTACCTGCCATTCTGCATTAAAAACAAAAATTTTTAAAAAAGATAAATTGGACTTGGCACCTTTTCACCTTTAGGTAGCGTTATGCTGTTAAAATTTATACTGTCTTTAATCGACGTCAGGGTACTCGCGTTATAATCCAACGCAAAAGATCTTGAAGTTGTGGTGGAGAGCAAACTGAGCTGGAAAAGTAAAATCGTAGACGGAGGGCCTACAGAGCATTCTATGATCTAAAAATTAAAATCTATTCTATCAAATAATGGTCACTGAAATTAATAAGACACAAATTTATATAACAAAAAACGTGACAGCCATCATTGAAAATATGTCCTTATTAAAGTACACAAAAAAAAAACTTTCCTTTCATGTCCATATAAGGTATTTTTAGGCAAATTTTGCAGGATCGAAAATAAGTGGCAACCTTACACTAATATTCTAAAGTATAACACTTCCTATAAAGGTAAAGAATTGTTTAAGAGCTTTCTTTTAATACCCATGAATAGTAGTATTGTATCCTAATTATCCAAACAATAAATTAAATAAAGATGCAATAGAAAATAGGTGGCAATCCTATTCAAAAATATCTCTATATTGGGGATTTTTAAAATACTTCTCAACCCATAGTTTTATTTAGTTCGTAAATAATTTTATTTAGTTTGAAAATAGTTTCGAATAGGTGGCAACCTTAACGCAAACTCTCGCAGATAACACCTCTTTAGATAATTTTAAAATACAAAACATCCACATAATCATCTACACACATCTACTTAGTACTGAAATATTATCCACTAGTAACTATGATTTTTCAAATTTAAATACTCTTTGCATCTCATTACAGATTGCTTCTCTTACGAAATGGCCGATCAGTGTGATTCCGTCAATGGCACCTTCTACCTGAGAACGTGCTACAATATTAGTTACGCCGAAGAGCACAATATCACTGAATTGGCATTGCATGCGCTGAAGCGACCACCAGCTGAGGAGTATTTTACGTGAGTCTCAAAAAATATTAAAGTTGCAAAAGAAATGCGCAATTAATGATTTCTTCTCCATTTTATTTATATATATATATATATATTATTTTAGAAACTACGTACTCGGTTTATCTTCAGGCATCGAAGAAACTGGTGGCATAAAACCCGAACTAGCCGCATGCCTCTTCGCCGCATGGGCTATAGTTTTTCTGTGTCTTTGCAAAGGCGTGCAATCATCCGGCAAAGTAGTCTACTTTACGGCGCTTTTCCCTTATGTAGTGTTAGTTATACTATTCTTTAGAGGCGTAACACTACCTGGCGCTAAAACTGGCATTTTATTTTATTTGACACCCGATTTCAAGCAGTTGGCTAATGCGCAGGTAGGTGGATTTCAATGAAAGCAAAATAAAATTCCCACTACCTTTTTTCTCAAATTAAATCTTTTTCCTATTTTATTTTTATTGTATTTTTTTCACACAGGTTTGGGGCGATGCTGCCGTGCAAATATTTTTTGCGCTCAGCCCCGCCTGGGGTGGCCTGATCACATTGTCTTCCTACAATAAATTCTCTAACAATTGTTATAAGTAAGTCAGTCACTTTATTGCCTACGTACTTGCATATAACACAAATATTCTTATTCATATTTCAGAGACTCTCTGATCGTGGCCATTTGCAATATAGCCACCTCATTTTTTGCCGGTTTGGTCATATTCTCGATCATCGGTTTTCTAGCGCACGAGTTAGAGGTGGAAGTGAAGAAAGTTGTCGATCAAGGTGCTGGATTGGCATTCATTGTTTATCCGGAAGTGGTGACACGCCTACCAGTCTCACCGGTTTGGTCGGTGCTATTTTTTGTTATGTTACTTACGCTGGGACTGGACTCACAGGTGATACTCGGCATAGTAGTGAATTTCGGCAGAATTTTTTGAAATTTTTTGTTTTTTTTCTCATCTTTTCAGTTCGCTCTCATGGAAACAGTTACAACTGCCATATTGGATAAATTTCCCAATTTACGACAATACAAGACATGGGTTGTGCTTTTTGTTGGTATTTTTGGCTATCTCGGTGGTCTCGGTTTTACCACGAATGTGAGTGCAAGGCAATCCTCAAGCGTAATTTAATTTTAATTCTTAATTGTTTTCTTGATCTGTTTTTGTAGAGCGGCATGTATTGGCTGCAACTAATGGACAAGTATGCTGCCAATTGGTCCGTACTACTTATTGCCATATCCGAGTGTGTTTTAATTGCTTGGATTTATGGTTCACAACGTTTTCTCAACGACATTCAGGGTATGATAGGTAAAAGATCGAGATTCTGGAATGCCTTTTGGTCTGCAATGTGGCGTTATATAACACCGGCAACATTGTTGGTAAGTACCAGCAATGGGGAAAGTAAAATGAGTAAATCTGATGCTTAATTATAAGAGAAAAACTAAATTTTTAAAAGAAATATAGTTTTGTGAATGTATGTATGTATATATAGTACATGCTATACATTAGACCGTACCAACTTACAAACAAACAAAAAAAGTTCGCCGTAGACCCTTGAGTCTAATATTTTTTTGCAGGGCAATTGTGAAACAAAAACAAAATTTTTTTGGGCGAACCCAGGGATGATAAAAAAAGGAGTTCTTGGAAAGGAATATTTTTTGATCGGAAACTCTGTTTCTCGTCAAGAGACTTCCAGTAGTAATACCAAATGGTTTATTAAGCCATTTTTAACCGACTTCCAAAAAAGGAGGAGGTTATCAGTTCGTCGGAATATTTTTTTTTTCTTTTAATGTATGTTACCGCATTACTTTGGACCACGTTAACCAATTTCGATAATTCTTTTTTTTTCATCGGAAAGGTGGTACCTCAGGGGTGGTCTCATACTAATTTTGTATAGATCCGATAGTTGGATCGTGAAGAAATCAACGATAATCTTAAATTTTTATATGAGAATTGAAGTCGGTTTTGTTTTTTACTTAAAAATTACTTGTTTAGTATTAGCTATTTTTTTATTAATTTCCTAAAAACTCCAAAAAAAATGCAATAAAAATGGTAAAATAAATTGAAAGGGTCCTAAAGAGAAACGGAGTTTTCCGATCGAAAAATATTGATTTCCAAGAATTCTATACCATTTCTACGAAAAAAAAATTCATATCAATACATGGAAAACTGGGCGCTCTAAACATTTTTTCTAGGCGTGAGAGCATTTAAATTCCACATTTTTGTACCACCCTAATGCACATTAGGCAATTTTTTTTTTAATAAGTAATTCTACTTCAAAAATATTTTAATTCAAAATACTTCCTTAGCAAAAGTTTAATTATGTTTGACGAGCTTTAATTTACTGCCATTAGGGGATACGTTGGGATAGTAGGAACTGCAAGTTTTTATAAACATTTTTTTTCCACAAAAATTCACCTGGCATAGAACAGTTTAAGCGATGTGCTTAAAAATGTTTGAACAAAGCAACGGAATCAAAATAATGAAATTTTTGGGGGTAATTTTTCTAATCGGTTCAGCTCAGGTAAATTTTAATATTTTGCCGAAAATCTTAAAATATAATAAATTTAATCGTTTCGATGGAAAAACTGTACCGATTTTTTGTGTGAGGGGTGATGCGCCCTAATGTACATAGATAAATACATATATGTATCTCCTTCAAAAATTATTTCTGCTTATCATATATGGACACCTGAGTGGAAGATAGACCTATCTCGGCAGCACATTTTCAATATATTTTCAGTTGAGATAGGGCGTTTTTAAGGGCGAATTCTGAGATAGGGTGTTTTTCGATGAAATTCTGAAGTAGGAGTTTTGTGAGATAGGGTGTTTTCGAACTGGCTGCCAAGATAGGTCGAGCTTCCACTCAGGTGTCGCACTGTAAGTTCTTAAATTATTTTATTGGCATTCCTTTTCAGTTTATTCTCTTCTTCAACTGGGTCGAATACAAACCCGCCTCGTACGGCCACTATGTCTACCCATTGTGGGCCGATGCGGTTGGTTGGTTCATCGGCCTCTTGCCGGTACTTTTTATTTTCATCATCGCCTTCCAACAAATTTGCAAGGCGCCTAAACAGCTTTCCATGAAAGAGCGTTTAAAATTTCTACTGCGTCCTACTGCCGAATGGGGACCTGCGGGAAGACCATGCGTCAATTTGCATGCCGAGCGCTACGACAGCCAAAATTATGACGTTGTGGCCAATACGCAAGTACTAATTAATGGGCTGCCCGCCGATGTGTCACCCTATGAGGACAACAGCAATGGATATCGTGACGAGGCGATGCAACTCTGAGAGCGAGTGAGCGCATCGTCGACTACGGCAGCAGCAGCTAGAACATCCACTGCTGTTGTGCGCATGAGTGATCACGTCGATGATGGCTCGATGGGTCTACGAATGGGTGGTAATGGGGCAAGCAATGGCACTGGTGGAACTGGCGGCGGAGGAGGCGGTGGCGATAGAAGAGGCAGCGGCGCTGCTGTGACAATACGAAATGGAAGTGTAAGTTGGCAAAATAATTTAAAATCAATACATACATATGCGCTTAAACCACTTTAATTTGTAAACTTCTAGCATACTGACTATGGCACCTCAGTGGCCATCAAAACAACCAGCTCCACTGGCGCTACCAAGCTACCTGGCCCTAGCATATTGAAGAGCTCGAAGAGCAACCAATCAGCCAGCAATGGCCGTAGCAAAGGACAGTATCAAACCGAGGCGAGTCCAAGCCGGCAGCCGTTAATAGAAGCGGAGCTGCGTGCCAACGACAGTGTCGGCTCGTACCTCAATGAGGCAGCCGCACTGGCACAGCGCAAAGCACTAGCCAATGGTCAGGGTGTTGAGGCGAGTGATAAAATGACAAAAGTAACTGCCAGTATTGTATTGCCAACTAAGACGGCAATGACCACAACCACAGCGGTGTCATCAACTGCGCCCACTGCTACCACCACAACGGCGGCAACAACACAAGTGTTAGTCGCCGGTACAATGAGCAGTGGCCGCGAGCGCATGCTCACCACGTTTGGTGAACGTGGTGTGGTACCAGGAGCGGAAGCAATCGCAACACCGGCATCCAAAGTGGCAACCTCTGCAACAGCAACTACTTCTGCAGCCAACGCAAAGTCAGTAACAGCAGCATCGGACTCTAAAGTGCCAGCCGTCGATAATAAGCCAGGGTTAGTGGGTGGCACAACACAGCCAACAATTACTTCAACAGCAATAACAAGCACAAAACAACCTTTGAGCATTGCATCAGCAATGCCGGCAACGAGTGCACCTGCAGTAACATCAACCATAGTTACCAAACCGACGACAATTGCACCTACTGCTGCCACAGCAACGATTGCTAAGCCTAAGCTGGCGACAACATCAACGGCAGGTGCAACAACAGTCGCTTTATCTGTTAAAACACCAGTGGTTGCAGCGGCAACAACAACTGCGACGACTATAAACACAACACAACCAGCCACAGAAACGTCAGCAACAACAGCGAGGCCAAAAACAACAGTCACAACAAATACAACACCGACAGCGCAAATGCTTACGGCAAAAGCCAGCACTGCAGCTGCAACAGTAACCACGTCAGCAACAGCAACATATTCCAAGCCTGCAACAGCAGTCACAAAGTTACTTTCAGAAGTCAAGAAGCCATCAGCAACAACAACTGCTACCATACCGCCAACACCAGCTGCAACTACAACAAAATCAGCAACAGCTGTTACAACAGTCTCTGCTGCAAAAACGAACACACCACCTAACACAACAGCAACAACTACAACTGCCAAAGTATCGGCCATTGTCGGCAAAGTCACAACTACAGCAACAACAACAACAACAGCGGTTAGCGCCATATTAGTAACAGCAACAACTGCGGAACCAAATGTTGCTAACACTCCGCCAGCTCCGACGCTTGCAGCGCAAGCCACAACAAAAATTGCAGCCACAAAAGTTGTCAATACAGCTACAAAGCCCATCATCACAGCTATACAAAAGCCAACAGTGCTGACAACAACTTTAACAGCAGAAGCTAAATTGCCGGCAACAACAAAGGCGACGGCAACAACAGCTGCAACCGCGACAACTGTAATAACAAATAGAGGTGGAACAAAGGCGTCGGTTACGGCGGCGTCAGCGGCTATTACAACTAAAGCAACACCCACAACAGCAGCAGCAGCAGCAACATTATCCACAGTGCCAATAAAAAGTGTAGCCGCCACAACGGCAACACAAACGAAAGCTGGCGGCCCAACAACGTCAACACCTACTACAACCAAGTCAATAACAAATACAACAACTACCATGACGAATAATGCTAGCAAGAAATAATTGTGCTGCGAAACCGATTATTTCTCTCACGCTTGCTCAGTTCGCAGTTGGACCGTAAAAGAAAGTAAAGTAATAAACAAAATAATGGATTAACGAAGTAAGTACTTAAGCGCATATTATTTATCATACAATTGTAGACTACGTACATATTTATTTTTATCAGTATCTACATTTCGGCATATATACATACATATGTATGTAACAACTTATAGTTATACTGAAAAACGGACGTTGAAAAGATTACATGTTTTGACTTGAAACTACTATAATGCAGTCATAAGTAACCAAAACTATAAACTTAATTCTACAAGTATCATACTTATAATAACTCTAATTTCTAAGGCATAATTTAAGGTGTTCAAAACGTGCAGTGCAACCTAACCCAACTAAATACTAAAAGCGTACACACTATACCTAAGAAGAAAAAAAAATAACAGACATATTTTATGAATTAAAATTACATAAATAAGTATTGTAACTGTACATATGTAACTAGTAACGTACTAGTACCCAAACGTATATCTTCCTATTTGTTTTTTTTTTTGTCGCCATAAGAAGGTTGAAAGCATTGTCAATTTGTAAAAAAAAAATGCTAAGTGTACGTGTACGGGGTTTCCCCGGAAAGCTTGAGCTGGGAAATTATTAATCTTTCATCAATGCATGTACCTATATACAATACAATTGTCGATACCAAGTAATTTTGGTATCGATACTTTTGAACCAAGTACTGAATAGTTATCGAAAAACAAATACTCGTATCGAAATCCGATACCAAGGCAAATTTGGCTTCGGTAATTTTTCCTTCACTTTTATTTCTAAGCGCCTTGGTCTTCGTGGATGCTTAATTGCCAGCGAAAACCGCGAGGAGGCGACAACGTCCATATATTTAATACAAGGCGCAACTGTTCGAGTGGAAGAGTAAATTGGATGACCCCGTTCATATGATAATAACACCTACACGAATTTACTTGCGTTTAACTTGCGTTAGCAGCTTGAGAAAAGGGCAACAAAATAGGCGTAGTTGTAAAGGCACGATTAGCTCCCGTCATGTAAACAGGGTCTTATTTTTCGCACTGAAAAGACTAGCGGAAAATACTATTGAAGAAAAGAAACAAAAAAAGAAAAAGAGTCCCACACAGAGTTGATTACAAAAAACAAAATTAATAGTAGAGAGCACGTTGCTAAGTCGGGATTTACTCAAGCGTCGAAGAGACCTATTGGGTTTTTAAATATGTGATAGAAAAAACGGTTATATGATGTATACCCTGTGATGGCTGAGGAATGTATGTTAATCCGCCAGTTTGTATGGAGGATGTTGCCGTACGGAAGGGTTAAAAATGAAAAGAAAGAAGCTGCTTCAAAATGCAAAAAAACATCGCCTTATTGGCAAATTAATTCAATGTTTCCTCCCACAAGAGTAGAAGGCGTGGCAATTATTCCATCTTTACAAAATTTCATAATTCTCTATTTCTAAATAAAACTAGAGCACATGTCAAGTTTCAGTGAAATTGGTGCAGGCTTTATTATTGTTTCCATCTGCCTTCATATAGTCGAAACACTGTGCCGCGCGAGGGCTTAGATATGGTGGAAGTATTCAACAGAATGCAAGGTATCCCCCATATTTTAATCTGGCGCGCTTGAGTAAACTCCCGAATCCCCTCTTGATCTTCGCTTCTACAAGTATCAGGTTTTCCTTTGTCAATTTCAACTTAAAAGTTATGTATTTAAACCTATTCCGTTATTTGTATGATAATTCCATTATTTGCATAAACATCCGCAGCCTAGATATGATAATTATTTTAAATTTATAAAAAAATCTTTATGTTTTTCGATCTTAAGGTCAAGTTAATTAAAACTATCACAATGAGATTTCCAAATCTTTGCTGTCTAATTTAGCTTTTATTTCTTGTCTGTTGGACAAAACCATAGTCGAAAATTATTTAATTGTGCTCAAATGTTGACTTGAATTACTAGCAAGGTTCGACTATTAGCGTAAGGTTTTGAAAGGTGTTGTTGTATCTGCGCCATTATAGTTATTTAGCATAGTGTGATAGAGATCGGTGTTTTTATGTGATCGTATTGTATGTTAAAAACAGTTTTAAGAGAAAGTCTCCATATGTATAGGTGTTAACTATTGAAACTAAAAGAATCGGTGCTATTGAGTATTTGAATCCTATAAAATAAAAATGATGTGTAGATATATCGCAGCTGGAAATGTCTTACCCACGAAATTTCGTACAAGTGGTTATAGCATAGCTTTAGGCGCAGTGTGGTATAAAAGGTGGATTCGAAGGTGAAACACACAGCCCTATTCCCACGTCAATGACAAAGCTCAACGCATGATGACTATCTTAACTACTGCGGCTAAAATTATGCTTTTAGCGTTTTAATTATTGCAAATATCATTGATATTGTTATGAACTATGAACGACCGTTTTCTCAAGTAACCTGTAACTTTAAAGCTCACTTTATATTTAAAGGTTGCATTAAAATTTATAATTGTATCTAAAGTAAAGCATTTTATTATCGGTTTTAAATTGGTTTACAACCAAGAAGCAACCATACGTCAAAAACCGATAATAGAAATGCTTAACTTTAGGCATAGCTTTATTTTTAATCCTACGTTTAAATATAAAGTGAGCTTTAAAGTTAAAGGTTATTTCCGGAAATGTCCCTAAATACGTGACAACGACGAAACATATTAAAACTATACGTAGTACTAATTGCACTCGAAAATATTACTCGCTTGAGTACATATATACATTTTTGTATGTGAAGTGGAAGACATTTTCCAGCTGGGATCTTAATGTTTGTGTATTTAGTACATAGGCATAAGACTGTTGTTATTGTTGTGGAAATTCATTGAAGTCAGTGTTGGTGCATAGTGTTATTTGATTGATTTTTATTATACTGAATTGTATATTGTATCGAATCGTAGTCCTGAAATAGTGCAAATTAGTGAGAAATATTAGGCAACGTATAGTACAAGTGAAGGCAACAAAATAGCATTGATTATGATGATTGTGATGAAGATTTGTGGTAACTAATGCGGATAGATAGTGGGTAAATTAGAGAGTATGTAATAGTTTATTTACTTAACCAGCAATTATAGTTGTTAACTGCTTACATATGTACGTAAACATTTATCATACTTTTTTTACAATGTCACATAATAAAAAAAACTAATTGCCAGTTTCACGAAAGCAATTTAAGTGAAAAATATTTTTTTTTTTTTTTTGAATTTTATATGGATATGGCAGAAAAAAATAATTCACTTAAATTGATTTCGTGAAACCGGCAGTAAGACTTCAACAGAAGTGAAATGGATTCTGAAATTTTCCAAACTATAACTTTTGTGTTGCGCGCGTAGAAAGCGTGAACTCGAAAAAAGCTATGGCATTCTAAACGGTTATGTTCTTTATTCCCAACAAATTTAATCTTCATTTTATGATTTTTATTTTTTCGATCAAGAATAGTTGTTTTCGGACATTTATTTTTTAGATAAATTTTTTATTGTTATTTTTGGTTTTTAATTTTTTGGACCATAGCTATTATAACTGTTATTTTCAGATTTAATTTTTTAGATCACACACGATTTAAATCGGTCATGAAAATGCGTACTCCATTATAACGGCTAAAAATTATCAGAAAAAAATATAAAAATCCAAAATAACAATTATTTTTTATTGAAAAAAAATCTAAAAACAAAATTTTAATTTTACCGTAAAAATATCAATTATAAAATACAGATTTTGCAATGAGCTTAAATTAAAAATCAAGATATTTAACCGTTATTTTCAGTCCCTTATTTTAATGTGTTCAAATCGCCCAAAATTGCTCTTGCCACCCAAATTCATATTTTCTATTTAAACTCAATCTTACACAGAGTTGGGCAAAATTTATTCGAATGACGAATAACAAATGAATAAATTGTTTTTCTTGTTATTCGTAAATAGTAAATAATTTCGTTTATTAAAAAAAAAATGATTCGAATGACGGATAAACTATTTTATTCGTTATTCGAATAATTATTATCTTCATTAATTATTCGAATAACGAATAAAATAATAATAAAACAAGTAATTTATGTATATAGATATGTACATATATTTATGTTTAAAATGATAACCGTTTTCGTTGTTGCGATTTAACTCAAACCCCTGGATAGATTTAAATCAAATTTTCGGAGGTTATTCCATGCGCACAAAGTCCTATTAAAGGCTATTAGAAAACTTCTTTGTGGCTATGGAGCCGAGTTATTTATAAAAGCCGCATTTATGAACTGATTTCGTTGAAATTCAAAATGTGTTCTTCCTGCATGATGAAAAATATTTATGCGAAAAATGGACCCGCTAGGTGGCGCTACAGTTGAGTTATTTAGAAAATCCCTACTTATTGTACAATCAGGCTGCAATTCATAATGGTGCTGCAGTCGAAATCATTAGAAACCCTATATGTCTGGACTACTTTGTTTTTATGTTTATATTATACGAATCTACGATGTCTCACGTCGTCATACACCCTAAATGCGACCTTGCATCTACCTCCGCTTGATGAAATTGCTCGGGCGGCCATTGCTGCAGCAGTTAGACTCAAGGAAACCAGCTCTTGGATATTTTAAAAGTGGCGAATCAGCAAGGAAAGTTTCGACCACATCCTTCCAAGAAAGACCACTGTTGGTATATCAATGGTCAAATTTTACATCGAGGATTTTTGGCTCTCCTATAGTAGAAAACGCACATCTGTGCTCTTCAGCTTCCTTATAAGGACTTTTGTTGGCCTACATGACATAAGACCAGAGGTTGACGCATCGGACCAATTGTGTAGTTGCAAGATCATAGAAGAAGATTACGCACGCTTAGAAAAGATCTCACAAGTGGAAATAAGACCATCGGTAAAGCTCATGACATTGAAAGGAATTTTTTCTTGCATATAGCATCAGAGCGCTATTTTTTTGCAGAAATATGTGTGAGAATTTTTACTTTACCCATATTTGGTTTTCAACGCTATTCTTGCATTGGCCAACGCAAAAAATCTTATCAGGGGTCGCGAAACCAGAGGGAATGGGCTAGTATTCTTGATAAAATGGTAAACAGAGTTCAGCTAACTCACAATCCTTGACAATAGAATTAAAAGTAAAAGGTGGCTCAATGTGTTAAAAATGAGTTTTTATTCATTATTTAAAATAACGAATAAAATAACGAATAAATTACTCGCAAACAATTTATTCACGAATAATTTATTCGTGAATAAGTTATCTGCGAATAATTATATTACGGATAAAATTTTATTCAAATAATTATCTAAATAACAATTTATTCGAATAATGCCCAACTCTGATCTTACATAAATTTTGCAGTTTGTTAAAAAAAAATGTTTAACTGAGTCTAATTTGGTATATTAAGAACGTGTTGGCACATGCACTTTGAAAAGTCCTTGTCTCCATTAAAAGCATAAACAAAACCACATCGCTAAGCGAATTTCGCCTTGCGGTGCGGTGCCGCCCAGTAAAACAGAACCGAAAGGAAATTCGCAACAGCTGAATGGCAAATAAAAAATATAAAAATACAAAAGCGAAAGAATTCGCAATTCTGATAATTATCTAGTAGAATGTGAGGAAACAAAGCAATTTTTTCACTGACAGTTGCTTTTGTGACCGGCGGCAGCTGAAAAATAAAGAATAAATTAATTTTCGCCGAATTTCGTCAGACGAACTTCGTTGTCGCTTCGGTTGTATGCAATCTCATATATATTTTAATTTTGACAGCGAAGTTTCTTTCGACGAAGTTTGCTCAGCGATTTGATTCTGTTTTAACTTTAAGATGATAATTTTAGAGACTATTACTCTAGCAGTGCAGTACTAAAAATCGCTAGCCAAAATTTCACTCATTAGAAATCCCGAAATGAATAGCAGAAGCGCCTCAAAGTATGCACGTACGGTGCATAGTAAAATCGGCTATGCGCCAGACACTTCTGTTACTCAGTTAGAGTTTTTCGGCGTTCGAAACTTAGCGAATCGATTTCTTAATCACTCTATCGTTTGATTTATTGCCGAACCGTATAGTAGGTCACTGAAACCACTACCACTCTACAATACTGTATTTTTAATACTCGGGTATTTTTAATAGGAGTTTAAAATATTTCAACTCGTTTAAAATAACCAACTTTTAGGCGAATGTGCACTATTTTTGCGAATAGAAAGCCGAAAAATTTAGTATATAAATAAACAACTACTATTTACTCGAAAACAGATATTCCTAAAGCAAATTTTTTTTACCAAATGAAGAATTGAATTTTCTAAAAACTACAATAACTTCATATTTCAGTGAGGAAGTTATAGGCAAACATTTTCGATTATACTTTTATGACAAGTACAACTTAGAGGGAACTGGGGAAAATTTGCGAAAGGATGAGAACAAATATTGCAGATATAGATAAATAAATATGTTAACATTTTATTTACATACACAGACTTATATACAGACATTTGTGCAACCATATATTTGTAGGCAGATACTGCAAAGAAATTTAAGGCATAGAAATTTGTTGTTGGACACTCAAAGTAGGTACTATGGCAGTTTTTCTCTAGATGACTTAGATTTTCCGTTTTTGTTTGTTTTACAAAAAGCAACCGATATAATGAGAGACTCAAGTACCTTTTAGCGCAAAATAAGTAAATATGTACTTACAAACAATGATGTGTATTACTTATCGATATACATATGTATCTACGTATTTGTATCTATGCATAAATGTTAAAACCCATTACTTTGTAGGTAGTTTGTACTAGTTGATATGTAACAAATGCCTACCTATAAACTATTGCATAAATGCGAAAAGCATAAGAGTAGTGTTTGATATTAATTGTTGAAAAAAATTGTATGTAGTTAAAGCGCAACAAAAAAATGAGCATAACTAGTTGTTGGTATTAAAAAATAGTGAGTATATAATTAATATGTTTAGATATGAAAAAATGTGTGTTTGTATGTAGCAAAAATCAAATAATAAAACAGGCAATAAATTTTAGTGTAATTAAAAATGTTGAAAATTGTATTTAATACAATGCAATAAACACTACATATGTATGTATGTATATGCAGGTTTGAAAGAAATATAAGAAAAATTATTTACTAATATAATTAATAAAATCTTAAACTATTAAAAGAAAATTAAATGAATTTGATACGTCAATCAGATTGATATACACATGGAGATTGTAATTAATTAGAAAATTGTAAGAGGCAAAAACCTATTTTTTTGTGCTGCACTGGTTTTTATACACATAAATATGTTTGTAGTCTAATATGCTTCCTGCGCTTTAACTGCCTCAGCAATTCTGGACGAGTCCAATAAAGCACGCCAGTCATTTATTTCCTGTGCCAAGTGAAACCAAGTCCTTATCCACTTGGCCTTTCCGTCGTATAGAATGCTTTCCTAGTCTCAATTACACTGCAGGGATGCTAAAATGAGAAACGACTGGCGT